GGTGGGGGGCGTAACTATGGTGACCCTATTCGCTGAACCAAAGTTAGGGACATATTAGACCAAAGTTAGGGACATATTAGCCACGCCCCTGAGCCCCACTAGCCACGCCCCTGAGCCCCACTAGCCACGCCCCTGAGCCCCACTAGCCACGCCCCTGAGCCCCACTAGCCACGCCCCTGAGCCCCACTAGCCACGCCCCTGAGCCCCACTAGCCACGCCCCTGAGCCCCACTAGCCACGCCCCTGAGCCCCACTAGCCACGCCCCTGAGCCCCACTAGCCACGCCCCTGAGCCCCACTAGCCACGCCCCTGAGCCCCACTAGCCACGCCCCTGAGCCCCACTAGCCACGCCCCTGAGCCCCACTAGCCACGCCCCTGAGCCCCACTAGCCACGCCCCTGAGCCCCACTAGCCACGCCCCTGAGCCCCACTAGCCACGCCCCTGAGCCCCACTAGCCACGCCCCTGAGCCCCACTAGCCACGCCCCTGAGCCCCACTAGCCACGCCCCTGAGCCCCACTAGCCACGCCCCTGAGCCCCACTAGCCACGCCCCTGAGCCCCACTAGCCACGCCCCTGAGCCCCACTAGCCACGCCCCTGAGCCTGCAATTGCATTGACCCGATTTGTGTCTCATTAATTGGGGGGGAGGGGGGACGCCGGGGGAAGTGTCCCCCTGAGGTTATGCCCACACTGGCGCCATCTTGCACCAGAGATATGCAAATGAGGCTAAGCGTGGAATATCGCCGAGCCTCGTTTGCATACCCAACGAGCCGCCATTGTCTGCACGGCCCCTCTTGCCAACGCCGCTAGTCCTGAAAATAATCGGCGTAGCGGCGTTGCACAAGGGGTTTCTTTTCCAAGCAGAAAAGTCCCAGTCTTGTTTCTCTCTCCTCATATGGAAGATGTTCCTTATCCCTAATCATTTCAGTTGCCTCTACTGTACCTTTTCCAACCCAATATATCTTTTTTTTTTTAGATGGGGTGACCAGATCTGCATAAACAAAATACAGGACTATGTAGCACTTTAAAGACTAACAAGATGGTTTATTAGATGATGAGCTTTCGTGGGCCAGACCCACTTCCTCAGATCAGATAGTGGAAGAAAATTGTCACAACCATCTATACCAAAGGATACAATTAAAAAAAAAAGTGAACACGTGATTTGTCCTTTTCATATGTGTTCACTTTTTTTAATTGTGTGTAATTGGGTTTGGAAAAGGTACAGTAGAGGCAACTGAAATGATTAGGGATAAGGAACATCTTCCATATGAGGAGAGAGAAACAAGACTGGGACTTTTCTGCTTGGAAAAGAAATGACTAAAGGATGGGAGGAGGATATGTTAGAAAATCATGAATGGCATGGAAAAAGAATAAGAAAACGTTATTTATTCTTTTGCTAACAACACAAGAAGCTGACCCAATTAAAACATTGATAGACAGCAGATTTAAAACAGACAAAATAAATTATTTTTTCACAGTCAATCCATGGAACTCTTTGGGGATCCCAGGGTGCAGCCTGGGACAGGGGTACTACTAACTCTCCAGCCTGGGCTGTCTCTCACAAGCCTTGCTAGTGACCCCTCTAAGTATTGCTCTCACTCAGGAAAACAGCACGTGGAGCCCCACAGCTAGGTAGATTCCATTCATGTTCCTTGAGCTACTCATGGATCACACACAGAGGCACCAAGTACACCAAGGCCTCAGCTCCTAGCACTGTATCTCAGGAATATACCATATAATTTATTAGTTGGTTCACCATTTTGTCAATAGTAAGTGCACTGATGCACTTAGTGAAGGATGCACAGGAGCTTTTTACTTTTGCTCACCATTTTGGACTCACAGTGAGCCTCAAGAGAACAGAAGTTTTGCCTCAGCTGGTCTGGAAAAAGCCCAGCACTCCAGTGATTGCTGCTGCTGGTACCGTCCTTAAGGGTGTTGACAAGTTCTGCTACCTGGGAAGTGTACTGTCCTCTGGCAGAAATGTGGATCATAATGTATCTGCTCAATTAGCCAAAGCCAGCGCTGCCTTTGGAAAACTAATCAAACGCCTATGGAATGACAGTGGTATTAAACTCCATACCAAGATAGTGGTTTATCAGGAAGTTGTCCTGAATGTCCTGCTGTAAGGCTCAGAGTCATGGACAATATGTCGTCCCCATGTTTTGAAGTTCAATCAGTTCCATGTGCATTGTCTGAGGAAAATTGCCCACGTGCACTGGTGGGACAAAATTCCTAATACGGAGGCTCTTAAGCTGTGTGGTGTCACAGGCATGGAGGCAATGCTTATGAACAAACATTACACATCCATGATTAGATTTGTGTGCAGGAAATAGCTTTGGAACTAACCCTCTGAAGCTTCCCCATTGCCTGAATTAACCGGACCAAATCATTGGTCATTAAGATACCATAATTATAATGTCTAGACTGACCTTTGTAATAGATGATAAAGCCAAAATAAGGGGCACCTTAAAGTTTGATAATTCATGCCCTAAACTGTTAAATTTCCTGGCCACTTGCAATTCCTAATCTGGAGCCAATTCCCTCTAAGACAGTGGCTGTGTCATGGTGGACCCTTCTATGTTTCTTGCTAGCAGCGTTCAGCCACGACTCCCATCCTCATTGGAGTAGAGGTACAGGGAGGCAGCACAGGGAGGACACAGCTCCCTAACGGAGGGGTGTGCCACAACCTTATGTGTTTGATTGAATACTGTGGGTGGATTAACACAGTTCGATTAGCATCCTCCTGAATCTCCATCAAACCCATGGCACTTACAACAGGAACAGGAGGAACTAGAACTGATTTGGTGCACTAAACGCCATACGGATCAACTACTGACCACATTCAAGAATCTTTTAGAGCAACCTCAATCTGCATGGCCTCTCGAGGTCCCTTCCAGTCCAGGACTCTATGATTCTAAGTTGCAGCCTCCTCTTATATTCCTTTGCCATGTGGCTTGTACTGCCTTTCTTAGCACATAACTAAGGCTCAGAGTCATGGACAATATGTAGTCGCCATGTTTTGAAGTTCAATCAGTTCCATGTGCTTAGGCCTGGCCCTGCATATGCTGCTGAGCCTCAAGCTGTATCCCCTGCTTTCTCCATGGGCCAACTGAATAGCTGTTGGGCCAGGATGGGCCATCAAGCAGGCGAGGCAGAGCCTTGTCAAACTGTCTACGAGTGTGACCCAGAAACACAGCACAGGTTTTGTACCAGACAGCCGGACAGACACAGCCAGACCCTGAAAGCAAGAGCTGTACAAACACACCCGAGAGTCTGATAACAACATGGGGCAGCTAATAACACGTCCAAAGCCATGAATCACACCCTGGGTCAGCCACAAAGGGAGCCTGCCAAGCCCACCGTCCCCCATCCATCTAGGCCAGAACGGAGCACTGGATCATGCCCAAAGAGCTTTGCTTGTTTTCCTTCCACCCAGAACCCCCCTCTTCTCCTGGGCTGCCCAGAACCACCCTTGGGATGCCCTGAGACAGGCGCGGGACTCTGTCTCCCTGCAGCCCACTGCCCCCACAGGCTCTGGCAGAACAAAGGGGGGGGCCTGCTCGCCCCACTGTGGCTCTGAGCTTCTGCCCTGCCTCCCTCAGCTCGAGTTTCCATCTTTGCCCCATTCCTGCCTCTGGGCAAGTCACACAAAGGAGGCAGCAGAAAGAGCTGGCCCCATATGCCAGCCTCTGAGGGCAGGGGAGTCCAAGCCACCAGCATCCAACAGGACACCAGCCGGTGCCTTCCTACCATCGTCTGACGCAGAGCGTCAGCAGCCGTCCGCATGCTGGTCGCTGGGTGGCCTTCGCTCTGCGTTTGCTGTGCCAGAGGGTGGTCTCGGTGGCTGTCTGCAGGTCACGTGTCTGCCTGGTCCTTCCCTCTTGCCCTGCCCGGCCCTCGGTTGCTTTGTGGCTTTTAAGCCTTCCCTTGGTGCTGTCAGCACCAGCCTCCTCCTGCTTACGGTGCCCAGAGGAAACGGGAGCTGGGCTCCACCCTGGGGCTCCTCCTGCCTCCTGCTTTCCCCTGCCTTGTGAGCCTGGCCCTGGGCCTCCCTCCACGCACCACGGGAGCCAGGGGAAAGCAGGGTGGGAATTTCAGTCCGGCTAGAGATCTGGGAGGGCTGAGGTTGAGTTTCTCACTGCTTGACCTGATGCCCTCGTGTGGTCCCTGTTCCTGCAGCTGCCAGGCTCTGCCCCTTCACACTAAAGGGAGGGAGTCTCAGGGCTAGGCTGGGAGTCAAGGCAGGGAGGGGGCAGGGCGATTTCTCACCTTCATACAGCCTGTGCTTGCCACTGCCAGGCTGGCGTCTCCACACTGACTTCTTGACCATCAAACGTGCAGAATGTTGCACAGAGAGTTTGTCCCTGTTGGTGCCGAGCGCTCACAGGACTGTGGGGAGCTATGAGAGGAGGGCTGGGCACAGGGATCTGTGATGGAGATCTCTGGGAGAGGGGCCATTGGGCATGGGGGTTGCTGGGGGTAAAGGGCTGGGTGATACTGGGCAGAGTGGTAAGCACACTGGCCAAGCA